CCTGCCTGGACCCAGAGTCCATCTCTCCTTTGGCCTGCCTGGACCCAAGGTCCATCTCCCCTCCTGCTGGCCCGGCCCCAAGGTCCGTCTCCCCTCCTGCCCCAGCCGCGGGGTGCCTGCCGAGGGACATCTCAGCAGCTGGCGGGACCTCCCATCATGGGAGAAGCTGGGGGGTGGCTCTTGTAGGGGCTTCTCTCAGTGGAGGAGAGAGCCTGTCCTGCCCCCCCCCCCCCCATTTTGTTTTCTTGTGAAACCCTGAGATGCTGGGGAAGAGCTGGGTTTGTTTCATGGACAGAAAGGCAAGGGGCACCATTGCCAGAGGTCCGTGTCCCAGACTGACCGAAGGGACATCAGGCAATCTCCAGGCTTGACCAAGCCTGCCCTCCCAGAGGCATTGAGTCAGGACATTGCTGCCTGCCTCAGTTTCCCCATCTGTAAAATGAGGATCCTCACAGCACCTACCTCACAGGGTCATTGTGAGGATCTGATAGGATCCCTTCCTGCCTTCTTTCTCCATGAGCCTTCTTTTCTTCAACCTCCATATCTCCATCCCTTCAGTTAATCAGAGGTGGAGGGCCGGCAGGTACCTTCAAGTCTACCCCACTCATCTTATCGGGTCACATCAGGAGTAAGAGTTTGAGAGAGGATTTGAACTCAGGTCCTGCTGATTCCAAGGCCAATGCCCTCTCCTCTGCTGTGATCTCTGCACCTGGGCCCTGGGACCATTCATAAGCCCCAAGCAGCTGAAGCTGGTGCCCCCCCCCCCACAAAAGACAAGCTTTCTGTTCTTGTCTGTCCTTGTGCAGCTGGGGAGGTTTGATTTCCCCCAAGGGGACAAGATGAACATTTCTCAACTGTCAGAGAGGGCTGTGATGGACCACAGCTGAATGCCAACCCGTTCTTCTCAGTATAGCCAATTGTAATGTCTCCCTCCCTTCCCGTGTGACAGCAGAGGGGTCCCCTTTCTCCGGGGTCTCTTACTGGCTTTGTTAACAGTTCTTTGCTTGCAGAAAACCTCAGTTTCTCTTTCGTCCATCTCTTCGCCAGGGCCCAGCCTGCTTGTACCTGCTGCTCCGGGGATGGTAGCTGCAATCGGTCCTCTGCCTGTCATAGGACACTGCAGACTTACTCTGTCTTACCACCCGCTAAGACCCCCTAATTCTTCTACAAACTGCTTCACTTGGATCCTTGTGAACATTTTGGAATAAATCATAACAGAGCGGATTAGTGCATACGTAGAGAGCCAGGGAGACTTCACCCACATCGTGTCCTTTTTGGACAGTCATGCTACAGCCAGAGCTGACTTAGACTTCAGCAAAGCATCCCACGCTATTCCTGTGGACAATACTGAGAGACGGGCTGGAAGATGTTACATTTAGATGGATTCAGAACTGGCTGGAATGTTAAGACTCCAAAGGGTCTTTAATAATCGGGTACCAATTTGGCAGCCGTCTCCAGTGGGATGCCACAGGGATCTGTGCTAGGCCCTGGATTGTTCAACATTTTTATCAGTGAGTTGAATAAACACCTTCTTATCAAATGTGCAGATGACACCAAGTCACGAGGAATGGACATAGTAGCCAGAGGAAAACTTGACAGGCCAGAGCATATGGCCAGGATCTCCCCTTCTCCTTGGGTTCACAGGCCCAGGACAGAGAAAGGAAAGAGGAGGTCTGGGGGCTTTCATGGACTTTGAGCTTAATTAATTTGAGTCAGCTGGAGAAAGGGGCAGCCCCCAAAACTCTGAGGGATAGGGCAGCCAGTGCTGGTCCCACCGTCCCCCTGCCCTGCACAGACCCCACCTGCAGGACTGCTCTGCTCACTTCTGGGCACCGAGGCTGAAGGATGGAGGAAGGCAGCCCGCATGGGGAAGGGCTCTAAGCCCATGCCCCAGGAGGGTGGGCTGCCTGGGGTGTGGCAGCCCGTGGAGCCATTCCCAGTAAGCAGATGGCCGCCTGGGAGCCGTCCTTTCTTCGGGGCCGAAGGGGGAGTCAGAGCTGCCCAAGAAAGGTGCCCCATCTTGGTGAGAGGCTTCCTTGTCCCCCGTCCTGGACACGAAGACCACACAGCATGGATCAGAAGCACTTTATTTAGCCTGGTTTGGGGGGTCGGGAGGGGGGAGGGAGTCCTGTCGGTCTGGCTGCTCCATCCACATATCCGTCCTGGCCTGGGCAGGACTACGCCGGCTGGCTCTGCAGGGCGATCAGGGCCAGGACCACCGAGGTGAGAGGGATTCCAGGAGAGTATCTGGGAGCGAGGTTCTCTGTGGGAACAAAGAGAGGGGGTGTGGGAGGGCACTAGAGCCTCTGCCCTGCCCCAACACTGGCTTACTCTGGATGATGTCGATGGACACGGGGTCGCTGGGGTGGGACCACAGGTACAGGTTTTCCTCATTGTGACCGTAGCACGTGTACACTCCGGAATGGCTCGGGTTCATGTCCTCTATCTGGTGCTCCAAGTCCTTTTCTCTTTGCTCCACCACAAAGTTTTCTGTGTCGGGCTCCCCCTTGATCAGCACCCACACCTCGAACTGGTCCTTGGTAGGCTTACAGTGAAAGACCACCGAGCTGCCTTCCTTCACGTTAGTGGAGGTGATGTTCATGAAGGGCTTGCTGTAAACACCTGAGAAGCGGCGGCCCGTTCAATGCCCACCCCTCTGAGGCTTCGCTTTCCTCTTTTGTAAAAGGAAGCTCTTCTAGCTCCTCTGGGGGGAGGGGGGCGGCCTTGGGGGACTTGGGAGGGGGTGCTCAGAGACTGTCTTCTCTCCTGGCTGGGCAGGACCAGGTTTCAAGGGGCTTCCTGGGATGAAGGAGCGAGCTCTCAGAAATGGCCACTAGCAGGCCCTGCGGCCCAGTGGGCCGTGGGCTCTCCAGTGAATTCCTTTTGGGAGATGCTAGAGACTAAAGATGACTCCTGAGGTTCCTTCAGGCTCTAGAACGCTGCCTACCCACCCCAGCCTGCTGTGTGTGTGTGTGTGTGTGTGTGTGTGTGTGTTTGTGTGTGTGTGCACAGTGGGGTGCTGAGGATCTCTGCTTATCTAAACCCACAAATACCTCGGAGCAGAGAAGGTTGTGGGGGAGAATCCAGAGACCCTTTTGAACGGCAGTGATGGAAGGAGGGGGCAGGGAGGCTGATGGATGGGCAGACAGGCAGAGAGAGGGAGGGTGGGGGTCAGGCTGGCCAGCCGTGGTCCTGGGGCCCCTCCTGGCAGAAGGGCGCCCCTCTCACCTGAAATGATTAAGTCCTTAAAAAAGCTACGCTTAGACCACTGGCCCTCGAAATTATAGAGGCAGCGGTATCCGGCACCGTGCTCAAACCTTAGGGAGGGCTGGTACAAGTGACACTCGTGCCCCGGGTAGATGGCCGGAACCTTTTCCCCAACTTGGACATCGCCTTCAGTATCAACCGTTTCCAGGCGGAAGTAGTCGGCCCTTAGGGGTGTGTAGCAGCTGATGGTGATGGAGCTGCCCAGAGGGCGGATGTTTCCTGGTTTCATCCTAATTTCGGGAGCCGGGCTCCAGAAATCTGCAAGGGTGGGTGGAAGGGAGCCCCGAAGTCCGGGAGGTGGCAGCCCTTGCCGCCCGTCCAGAGCGCTGCCCGCTCCCATCCCCCGCTCGGACCTCTTCCTCCCTGCTCCCAGGCTCCCCTCCATCCCCCCTTCCAGGCTCTCCCATCCCCCCTCCCAGGCTCTCCCATCCCCCCACCCAGGTTCTCCCATCCCCCCTGTCATCCTCCCATCCCCCCTGTCATCCTCCCATCCTCCCTCTCGGGCCCTCCCCCCTCCCATCCCCTCTCCCAGGGTCTCCCATCCCCCCTCCCCCCTCCCCTCCTGCCTCCCGGGCCCTCCCAGGCCCCCCCTCCCCAGGCCAGGCACTGCGTTTCTGGGACAGGGCCCAGCACCAGGTACATGGCTGGCGGCCTAATGCGTGCAGGCTGGGAGAGCACTCACAGAAAGCCTGGATCCCGGGGCTCAGGCACAGCCCTGTGGGGGAGACAGCAGACCCCATGAGGGCTGGCTCCCGCAGCAGCCCCCCACCCCCCCCCCAGCCCCGCCCCAGGCCCTCACCGAGCCAGAGCAGGAGCAGACGCTTGGGCTCCATGCTTTCTCCACGCCTCGGGGCACGGTGGGTGGGCGGGGCGGGAGGTGCTCTGCCATTGGCCCAGCCCTGCCCAATGGGGGAGGGCAGAGCCCGGTTCAAGGTCAGCCAAGGCAAGTCGCGACCTTGAGGGTGCCCAGATGGGCTAGCCCTCCTCCTCTGGACTCAGTTTCCTCCCTCTGTAAAAGGAGCTGATTGCTAGAGAGTGAGAACTAACTTTGTACTGCACCTACTGTGTGCCAGGCGCCGTGCTAAGCCCAAACTTCTCTCATTTGACCCTCACAACAATCTGAAGAGGTATTGTTCCCATTTTACAGATGAGGAAACTGAGGCAGGCAGAAGGGAAGTGACTGGACCAGAGTCACACAGCTAGAAAGTGTCTTAGGTTGGATTGGAACTCAGGTCTTCAGACCTGGAGTTGTGGCCCTGCATTGTGAATGGGAGTGGGCAAGTGTGAGTCATTCTCAGCTTGGCCAGCCTCTGGATAGAAGCATGGAGGGGTGGGCAGAGGCCAGACTTGGCCTTAGGAGGTATTCAGGCTGCATTCATATCCCACCTTTCATGATGCCTACAACCAAGTCATTTCCCCTTGTGGCCCCCTCCCCACACCATTTCGAGCCCCCACCACCTGAGAAAGGCCTAACACCTGGACATTTCAGCCCACCTTGGCCTTCATGCTTTGCGTGCTTTGGCAGAATGGACCTGCTTTGCTTTGCTCTCTGGGTGAACCCCAAATGCCTCTTCCTGGGTCAGCAGCTACAAGGCCGGATGAAGCTGACCAGGAGCATTCTTTTGTTTGTGACTGTCCAGGGCAGGGCGCCTTGAGCCGGATACTATCTTGAAATGGGGCTTTTCTTGTGTTTTCTTCTGTTGTATTATGTCATGTCAATGACAGAAGAAACACAGACATCCTGAATCCATCATTTCAATTGTCCATTCTCTTATCTTATTGTATTGACAGTCTGTCCGATGTCCGTATTACGGCTAACACACATGCAGACTACAATTTTGGCTGACACAGGCAACCTGAGCCAGGAAGGGAGGGAGAACTGAGAGGGAATTGCTCTGAGGATGTAAGGTCCCCTTTGTCTGTCCATCCTTGGGCTCATTTCCACCATGAGCTCCCCTGCATAGCTCTGTATGCATATTCTACCAGCTTTGAGAGAAATAAACGTGCTCATGCAGCCTAATTTCATTTGTCCTTCTTAGAATAACAGTAATGGTTGACACTTTGCTTTTTATCTGGAAAGTGAGGCTAGTAGTCCTAAAGGAACCTGGGGCAGAAAATATTGTGTTAGCGCCCAACAGCCACAGCAGTGGACCTTATCATGATGGCCCCCTCCCTCCCCACTCAGTTGCGGGAAAGGTTCTGGGCATCACTCCTGCTGGGGCCTCAAGTGTAAGGGGATGGAGAGAGCCCCTGGGGAGATGCTTCATTTGCATCTCAGCCAGTTTGGGGAAAGCTTCTTCCTAGGGCTCCAGAGCTGGGGAAGCTTCCCAAGGGCCTGGATGGGGTTGTGGGGGGCTGCGGGACAAAAACTTGGAAACAGCTGACCTGAGGCTGTGTGATTGGAATGAGTTCCCCCTTCCCCTCCTTCACGCCCCAGTGTGCTATGTGGGCACCTTCCAGGTGGGTTCTTGGGAGACTTCCCCTCCCCCAACACCCTGGCCAGGGCTTGTATGGTGGTGTTCGGGGTTGCCCAGGGCTGCCCCTTAATTCTGTAGGATCCCAGGGGCTCTTGGTTGTGGCCGGTCTCCAGGATTGTCCCTCTGAGGTCTCTGGGATCTCTCTGGGGCTATTGCAGGGTCTCCGGGAGAAGGGCCAGCAGGCAGGAGGCAGGCTTTGCAGCTGGAGGACCCCAATTGCCTCAGTGTCCTCCTGTCTCTCCCTGCATTGTGTTTGCTCGTCATGGCTGGCACGCGTCTCCCTTGATAGCAGGGCAGGGACTGTCTTTGGCCTCTCTTTGTATCCCCAGTGCTTAGCACAGGACCTGGCACACAGTAGGCACTTAATTAGAGCTTGCTAACTGATGACCTCTGGGGCCTCTTCTATCTCTTGATTTAGAATTTCCAGAGCTGGCTAGCACAAATTGGGGATCTGGAATGACCTAGGCGTGTGATTGGAGGATGTCTGAGATCCCCTGGGTGGACCACTGGCAAGGTTCTCTGATTTTCCTGAATGTAATTGTGGGGCCTCAAGGATCGTCCTCTTCTTCATCATCATCAACCATTTATTAAGCTCCTGCTGTATGCCGGGCATTGGGCTAAGCCCTGGATATATAAAGAAAGGCACTCCCAGTCTACCCGAGGAGACAACAGCAAACAGGACACGTCAAACAAAAGGAAAATGTGGACTTCTTGCGGAGTCAGGAGGGGGTTGTCTGGCACCCGAAAGAAGCCAGGGAAGCCGGGAGGTGCAGAGGAGGAGGGGGCATGGGGAAGACGACCAGGGCCCCTGGGCTGAAGGGCAGGGGGCAGGTGACGCAGAGCTGGGAATATGGGAGACGGGATTTTGTATTTGGTCCTGGAGGTGACACAGGGAGTTTACTGAGCTGGGGGGGGGGGGGGGGGGGGGGGGGGGGGGGGGTGGTTGGCGTGGGCAGATCTGTGCTAGAGGAAAATTGCTGACAGGTGAGTGGAGGGTGGGGAGGCTTGAGGCAGGGAAATCCACCAGCAGCTCACACTCCAGGAAGTAGGTGCTGAGGGCCAGCACCAAGGTGGGGCAGTGTCGGGTACAAAAGATGGGACAAAGGTAAAATCGATCGGCAACAGGTCGGATGTGGGACTTGAGCGTCAGTGACAGCCAGGTGACAGACAAGCTCAGGTGGCAGAGGATGGCGGTGCCTCTCTGGTGACCACGTGGGCCATGAGGCAGCGTGGAAGGAAAGAGGAGGTTTCTTCTGCCTCCGGAGCAAGGGTCTAGGGGCACTGAGCTTCTCTGGGAGGGAGCTGGCCCCCTCGTCTTCATCTGGTCAGTCACTGGGGTGTATAGATTCACGAGGTCTCAGATCTCTACCAAGTGTGAGAGGCCTGGGGTCCACACAGCTTGGGCTTTTTATTGGCCCTAGGCGGGAGCTATCAGAGAAACTGAGGGCCACGGATTTTGTGAGGAGGAGGGTGCTTTATCAAGGAAGCCAGGGGGCAGGTTGGGGCCTGTGGACAGGGGTAAGGGGGCTGTGTCAGGAAATGAGTGATTAGGGAGATGGGATGAGGGGCAGAGCGGATGGGGTGGGTAGAGAATGAGTTCAGTTTTGCACACGTTGAATTTAAAGTCTACAGAAATCAGCTCAGAATGTCCAAAAGGCATCGGAGGTGGCAGAGTGAGGGTTGGGAAAGAGGTGGGGTGAATCACCCTTAGATGCTAATTGAATCCTTGGGAGCTGATGAGATCAGCAGCGGAAATAAGAGGGCTTTGGACAGAGCCTGAGGGTGGGGGATGGTGCTGACCTGAATGAAGACCCACTAAGAGATCTGAGGAGTGGTCAGAAGGCTGGGAGGAGAACCAGGAGGGCGAATCCTAGAAAAGCCAAGGCTGCAGAGATCCAGAGGGAGAAGGATTAAAGAAAGGCCATAGGTGATGGTTAGTAACTTTGGAGAGAGTAGCTCTGATAAGGCCGGAAGCCGGATTGGAAGGGGTTAACTTGAGAGGAGGTGGGGGGGGCACAGGGGGCACCAAGGCCTTTTCTAGGAGTTTAGCTGTGACAGGGAGGGGAGAGATGGCCATGGATGGATGGACCAGGGGAGGGCTTTTCACGGGTGGGGGAAATGGGCAGCAGGGACCGGAGAGAGGAGAGATTAGTGGGGGGAGTGGGGCAGTCTGCTTGGCATTAACCCTGGCAAAGACAAGGGCCACCTGGGGGGGGGCAAGATTTGAGAGAAAGGAGCTTGGTGCAGAACGTGGTCTCCCATCTCGTCACACCTTCAGCTCCAGGTTCTTACTCTCTTACTTGAATTACCCAAGACTGTGAAAGGACCCCACCCTTCACCCCCAAGTCATAGTATTATTGACTTTGAAAATCTCTCCTAATTTTCCACTTAATGATGGGCCAACTCCTCCTTGGTCATACCCTCCCCATCGGAGGTATCCTGAAACCCCACAGGCCATCGTGTCGACCTTCTAGCCCATCCCCCTCAACTCCCCCCACCCAGCGTCCCAGCAAAGCCACTAAAGCCACCTAGCCCCTTCGCTGTGCTCTCTGGAATGCCTGCTATATCGGCAGCAAACTCCATCTTCTCCTGTCCTTCGCCTCCTGGCTCTCACCAAAACCCCGGCTTCCCATGCACAGCCCCTCGGCTGCCCTTTCCAGGGCTCTCTTGCTCACTGGCTGAGATGTAGGGCGTTGGCCTGCCCCTGCTCCCCATTGCCACTTCCAGGCCCTCTTCCCTTTGAGGTTCACACAATCCACATCAAAATTGGGTTCCCGTCTCCTGGCTACCAGGACACCCCCTCCCTGCTTCTTTTCTCCATCAGCTCAGTTATCTGTCTGCTGCTCTCTAACCTCCCCGTTCCTCAGGGGTAGGGGCAGGGAAGAGAACGAGTTTAGTGTGGGACGAGATGAGTTGGAGCTGTGTCCTGGAGCTCCTTGAGAAGCCAGCCCCAGGAGGGGCCGCTGCTTCTGTTTCTCTCCCCCTTCCCTCTCTTCAGTCCAGCTTCAGCCCTCATGGTAGAGAGAGAACAGAAAGTGCCCCCTCCAAAGTGGCCAAACCCAATGGCCTTTTCTCCCCGCAGCACTGGACACCGCTGGTCATGCTCTCTTCTGTCTAGGTTTTCAGCACACGCTCTGCTCCCCGGGTTCTCCTCCTCCCTCTCTGACCGCTGCTTCTCCTCACCCTCCCACCGGAGAGGTCCCTTGGGCTCTGCCCCCGGCCTCTTCTCTTCTCCCTCTGTCCTATCTCACTTGGGGATCTCCTCAGCTCCCAGGATTCCATTCTGGGCTGACAATTCTCATATCTGCCTTTTCCTGCCCCAATGCCTCTGCTGACAGTGTCCTGTCTCACATCTGATTGCC